TATATATATATATATATATATATATATTGATTTTGTTAAAGAAATATGATGAACTACGATTAACATTTCTTTCTTATTTATAATAATCAGAATAGTAAAATTTAATAAGATCATAAAAAAATAGAATATTTACTTAAGTTAATATAAATTATTTTATGAATATTAAACTCTTTAATTTCCATAACGGCTACTTATACTTGTGATCTACTGCCTTCTCTTTCCATTCCTTTCTTCCGACTCCTAATCTCTCTCTCTCTCTCTAAAATCACTCCTAATCTCTCTCTCTAAAGTCTAAACCACCATGGATCGGAAGAACGCCGTCGTTCTAGCGCTCATCGCCGTCGTTATCGCCTCCGTAGGAGGTCAAGCTCCGGCTAATTCTCCAACTACGTCTCCACTTCCGACTGTCACGCCTGCCGCTTCACCTTCTAATGCTACTGTTACCAAAACACCGACATCAGCACCCACCACAGCTCCGGCGACGAGCCCTACGACAGCTCCACCGACCGCTGCCGTTCCTTCTCCTGTTTTATCTTCTCCCCCTGCTGCAGAGCCGGTGAGTTCCCCACCCACAGCGGTTCAATCTCCGCCGGTTCCAGTACCTGTCAGTTCTCCGATCTCGTCTCCTCCAGCTCCAGTGTCTGCTCCGACTGCCGCAGTTCCTGCTCCGGCGCCTAGCAAGAAAAAGACTAAGACAAAGAAGCATAATGCTCCTGCACCAGCACCGGTAATAGCTGTATCACCTTCTCCCACCGAAGGTCCTGGATCGAGCATCGATTCTCCTTCTCCCGGTCCGTCGTCAGCCGACGTCGCCGACGAGGTAAATTCGTAGACTTTTTTTACATCAATTCTATATCGATAATTGTATATATGATCAAGATCTTACCAATTGTTCATGAATTCGATAACTTTATTTGATTTAACTATCAAAAATTCTGAATTTGATGATGGTGGAAATGTAAATTGTCCAGAGTGGAGCAGAGAAATTGAACTGTTTGAAGATGGTGGTCGGAAGTTTGGCGTTCGGATTGACTGTATTCGGGTGGTTCTAGAAACTTGTTTTTCCTTTTCCTTTAAAATTTTTGAATTTTATTTATTTTTTTTCTATATGATACCTCTTTTGTTTTGATTTTTGTTTCTTTTTTTTCTTTTTTTTTTTTCAATATGGTGTTACATACTTACTCCATATATGTAATTATACCACCTGGGTTGGAATTCTGATGTGATGAGGTTAAATGGTTAATCGTATGTCTTAGTTTTATATTCTTGTATTTTTCGTTAAAGAATTTGCCATATAAGTAGATTTAATGTTTGATAATTAATTAATAATAAATGATTCGAAGTTTGAACATCACCATAACTATATTTTAACATATATGACCCTTAAGATCGTGTTTAATAAAGATCATGGTCCAATAAATAGTCGGAAGTATGAAGTCAATATGATAAGAACTATCTTGACATATCCAAACAAACAAGGAATCCTGATCATATTTAGTATTAGATTTTTGGTCTTGTAATACTATTTTTGTAAGGTTTATAGTAGGGATCGAGAATTTGGTCCGAAAATCCGAACCAAACCGAAACCCGAACCGAACCGAATTAAGCTCGAATAAGGAATTTGATTCGGGTTTTGGGTATCTATATTATGCTTATTCGGTTTGAAATACACGGTCCGAATAAGCATTCCTTCTCCCCTTTCTCTGATCGATAGATTTCAAAATTATAATTCAAACTTTTGTCTTCGTCGTTCATAGCAGTAAAAAAAACCCTACACTCATTCTCGTCGTTTCAAAATCGACCTATCCTCTCATCTATTTCCAAACTCAATTACTTTTGTCTATCTTTCCTCTTTTGTTTCAAGTTTTCAAAAATCGACACTTCCTATTGTCTTTAAAGATTCACAAATTCCTACTTTATCTAGTCATGAAAAATTGGGCTACAACTGATGAAATTCAAGTAAAAAATTTATGGTAATCTACTATATAACTGTTATTCTTTCAATGTGTTATTGTGTTATGTTAGTCTTTGAATGTTTTAAGTTGATGTATAAAACTACATTATTATTCTATTATTCGGGTTCTTCGGGTTATAGAATCATAATACGGTTTATTCGTTTTTTTTCGATTATATTAGGTCCTTAATAATCTTGTGCATGTTATTCGGGTAATAACCGAACCAAACCGATTAATACCCGAACCGAACCGAACCCGTATTGGTTAATTGGTTCGGTTTTCGGTTCATGTAATTACCCTTATTCGGGTTCTGTTCGATTCCGACCCGAATAACATCGCTAGTTTACTTTATAGTAAAAATACCAAATTTTATATTTTACTATTTGATTATATAGAATTTCTTTTCTTTATTTTTATAAAATCAAAGCTCTCAATCAACATATTCAAAATTTGCTTGAGTATCTTTCTAAGTTTGTAACATATGGCCATGGTGTATTGCTTTATACACTTGTTACACTATAAACATAAAAATATTAACTATTAGTCTAACGGTTATGGTTACCAACAACCCATTAGAAAATTATTGCAATTTATGTGTCACGTCATCTCCACTAAATGTTTACTACTAAATCACTAGCTTTTGAAACTGATTACCACTCTACATTATTTATCTTTTTTATTTTTTATTTTACTTTTTTTACATTAAATTAAATAAAAAAACATAACTAATATACATTAATAAATATTTTGCATTACTTAAAACCTCATTACATAACTTAAATTTAAAACCTAAATTACTAAAAAAACATAAAAATATAAAAATTAAAATCCTAAATTACTAAAAAAATATATAAATTTAAAGCTAAATTACTAAAAAACATAGAAAGTAAAAGCATGGAATGTTGGGGTTAAAGTTGTTGAGGTTGAGGAGGTTGGGGTTGAAATTCTTGAGAAGATTGTTGAAAAGCTTGGAATTAGTGTGGTCGTTGTTGTTGGTAGAATTATAGGTGGTATGGAATGTTGATGAATAGAAGTTGTTGGATTGGAGATGTTAAAAATTGCATGTAATAAATGGTTGCATATAGATCGTTTGGGGTGGTTGAAGTGGATGTGATATTTTTAGTTGGATCTATATTTTGAAGAAAATATGAGAAAGTAGAAGAATGTTGTGTGTTTTTTTAGTGTAAAATATATGTAAAATGGTTGGTACATGTCACACCCCCAAACCAAGGATGGCGGAAACGTCCGGGGGTGGAGGACTTCATGTATAGTA